GAGAGAGAGAGAGAGAGAGAGAGAGAGAGAGAGAAAAGTAAAAGTGAGAAACATTGATCAATTGTTTCCCTTATGTATCCCAACCAGGGATTGAACTACAACCCAAAAATGTGCCCTGACTGGGAATCAAACCTGTGACATTTTAGTTCATAGGATGACATTTCAACCAACTGAGCCTCCAGAGCTAGGCTAGAGTCAGCTTTTGTTGTTTTGTGTTTTAATTTAAGGCTGATTGAATGAATGTATTTGCTGATCATGTGCATTGTAAAAGGTTCTTCCCCTCATTTCTGTAGCTTGTCTATTTTTTCTTTCTATCATCTACGAATTCACTTTTATTTATCATTTAAGTTTTATTGAGGTATAATCCTATATAATAAAAGCCCAGCAATCCAAAGGGCGGCACAACAAACAGAACAATGGGACCAGAATGACCAGAGACCAGAACAACTGCCACCTCTTGCCCTGGCTGCCCAACCCCCAAGTGGGAACACTGCAAAACCTTCACCAGGGCTGGCCCCTTCCCTCAGTAGGGACCCCCACCCCAATCGAAGGCATAGCCAGCCTGCAAAATGCCTGATGCCCCACAACCCAGGCATCCCCACTGGCCAACAGGAACTTCCACCCTGATCTGGGGCCCCCTCAGGGCAGGCCAGTTGGCCCCCACCCATGCACTGAGTCTCTATCCTATATAATAAAAGGTTAATTTGCAAATTGACCCTAACAGCAGAATGATCAGAATGACTGCTTGACTAGTCACTGTGAAGTGCACTTACCACCTATTGGTCCCCTTCCCTGGCCTGCATGCTCTGATAGCCCAATGGCAAACAGGGAACCGGGAGTGTGTGTGCGGGGATGCGGGTGGCACCAAGCCAAGGCCCCTGCCACACCAGTTATCCCACACAGATAGGGCAACCAGGGCAGGGGGGTGGGGCCATTGAGTGGGCAGAAAGGCTCACCTCTTGGTTCTTCCCCCAAGCCAGCAGGCTCCGATCACCCAATGGCAAATAGGGTCCTGGGGGTGGGTGGTGGCAGGGGATGGGGCTGAATGTGGGCAGCTGGGGAAGATGGCTGTGATAGCAAGACAAGCCTAGGGACATACTCACACACAAACTTTGTGCACCAGGCTTCTATTGTATTTATTTAATGTAGTTCTTTGATGAATTTAGAAATATACCTATACTCATGGTACCATCACACAAAGTCTAACATTGTACACAGTGATCTAAAATTTTATATTCAATTTATTCATGTTTCTAAGGCAGTGTGCTTTCTGAATCTTGTTGAAACATTTTCCTACATAAATATCATAAATATATTGTTCTATATTTTTTCTCTTAATAACTTGAAAGATACTTTTTACATTTAGGACTTTACTCCATCTGGTATATTTATTTGTATATGGCTTCAGGTACAAAATGTGTGTGTGTGTTTGTGTGTGTGTGTGTGTGTGTGTGTGTGTGTTTCTATAAAATAATTTCTTGAATCACTCATTATTTTACCTCTGCAACTTGACATATTTTATGTTGTTCATTTTGAGCCTTTGTATGATTTTCTGTGTGTCTATTTGTATACCCACGTACCAACTGGATTTCATGATCTGTGTTCAGGCAGTCTCCCAACCACTTTTTAATTATTTTTCCTTAGATATTCTTACTACTTGACCTTTTAAACAAAGAGTATAAATAATGTGTCAAGTTAAAAAAAATACCTGGTTAGATTTTCTTTGGTATACTATTGTGTTTATAGATTAATTTGGGTAGGAAAAAAAGATAAAAATATCTGAAAAATGATAATCTATCCTATATAATAAAAAGGTATTATGCTATTTGACCATCACTCCAACACACAAGATGGCTGCCCTCATATGGTCAAATATGGCTGCCCTCTGTGGACATAAGATGGCCTCCACAAATTTGCCAGCAGGGGAGGGCAGTTGTGGACAATCAGTCCAGCAGGGGATGGCAGTTAGGGGTGACTTGGCTGACAAGGGAGGGCAGTTAGGGGAGACTGAGCCAGCAGAGGAGGAGAATTTGGAGGAACAAAGCCTGCAGGGGAGGGCAGTTGGGAGGACCAAGCTTTCAGGGGAGGAAAATTGGGGTGAACCAGGCCAGAAGGGGAATGAAGTTAGAGGTGACCAGGCCTGTAGGGGAAGGCAGTTAGGAGTTTCTAGGCTGGCAGGGGAATGCAGTTAGGGATAAACAAGCCTACAGAAGAGGGCAGTTAAAAGCAACCAGGCCAGCAAGAGAGGGGAATAAGGGGTGACCAAGATGACAAGTGAGGACAGTTAAGGGTGACCAGGCCAGCAGGAGAGAGAAGTTAGGGATAGCCAGGCCAGCAGGGGAGGGCAGTTAGGGGCAATTGGGCTGGCAGGGGAGTAGTTTGGCAAAGATCAGGCTGGCAGGGGAGTGGTTAGGGGGTGATCAGGCTGGCAGGCAGGCAGGTGAATGGCTGGGAGCCAGCAGTCCTGGACTGTGAAAGGGATGTCTGACTACCCTTGAAGGATTCCAGATTGGAGAGAGTGCAGGCTGGACTAAGGGACACCCACCTCCCATGCACAAATTTCATGCATCAGGCCTCTAGTGTTTATAACATGCCAGTAACCAGGAACATTTTAATGAGCAGATTGACTAGACGTTATGTTGCCCACTGTAGCCAGTGAACCAGCCCAATTGGGAGGTTGGGCCAACCAGCCAAACTCTTGTGGCCCCTTCTCCCAGAAGGCCCAACCCCTTATCAGCCTCTCTCACCCTGACCTAGGAAGGGCATTCAGCCAAACCTCTACGCAGCCATTCCTCCTGGCTGACATTGCCCCTGCATATGTGAGTGTTTTTTCCAACTGTGTGGTGATGTGTGAAAAACTTTGTTATTGGCTTTTTAATATTATCTCTCAGTAGTAGAATTAATTCTCTATAATATATGCTTTTGGATCTTTGTGTTGTGTCTCATGTTTCTATACAAACAGTTAAGTACAGAAATATAAACATTATGAATCTTTGTAGTATAAGTTAAACATTACAATTCAAAATTCAGTTAAACCATATAATTCAGAACTCTTATAGTTTCTGCATTTCATGGCTTTGCAAAGACAATGCTCCACAGTGGTCAATAACTCAGATTTCAGAGAAAGTCAAATTGAGTTCAAATCATGGTGTATCCATGTTTTAACTGAGTAAATTTGGCAGTCATTTAAACTCTGTATTCTTTTGTTTTATTATATTATAGGTAGAAAGGAGATATAGATAGTAATTACATTATAGTGTTGCTGTGATGGTTAAATTGATTTCTTATATACATAAAATTCTTTAAAGTAATCAAAATATACAATTAATATTGTTTTAATAATATTAAATATTATTATTAACAATTATGTTAATAAATATTTATGATTATGTTTATATATGAAACCTAGATCATCTTATTTAAATTAATTTCAGCAATGTACTCAAATATTTACTCAATATTCTATGTATATATAACAGAAGTAACACATATCTTTACTTAGTAACTATCTGATCAGCATGGTGACAAAATTCCTCTCCCAATATTCACCTTTTCAGAAATTTTAATATTCCCTCTCCCATTGCTGACACTCCCCATTCTCTTTCCATTTTTATCTGATGATATTTGTATTTCTATACAAATACAGTAAGTTTGTCCCATTTTGAACCAAATTCCAAGTTATTTTAGACAATATCCAAGAGCTTGTTAAAGAATAAAGTTTTCCGGAAGTTTGGAAATACGCAATCATATGGAAAGAAAATAAGAAAGTTAATATATTGATAGAAAGATATATAGGACTAATTTTGTAAATTCATGGTTTAGTGATGAAAAATATTCTCTGAATCTATGATGTTGGTTTAATAATAAATTAAAAACTTCTCTGAACCACACTGGATGTGGATTGGATGAGGATACAGCTGAGGTGCTGACCAGGTTACAGTTCCTGTCTTCCACCTAGGCACAGCTGCTGAGGGACAGACACAGCCAGCTCTCTGCACTCAGGGAAATGCAGGGAGTGCATGAGTCCTAAGCTGGAAAATGCAGATAGCTCACTCCACTTCATTTCCATACACCCACCTTTTCATTGAAATGCTAGTCTATTAAAGGACCCAAAGATGCAGTTTATGTGTCTTCATTTTTTATTTAAATACAAATGGTTAAATATTCCTGTCATACTGAGAAAGGTGCTTCTAGAATTTGCTAAAGAAGGGCAGGACTGCCTGTAATTCCATAAAGAAGGAAAACAAAAAACAAAAAAAGACAAAAAATAGGAGGTGAGGATAGTAATTCCCAGAAGCCTTCAATCTGTCCCTGACCAACATTCCTCTTTCATCCTCTTCCATGTGCTTTTGCCACTAGTTTTGACCTCTGTGACCCTTGCAGTATAATCACCAAAAGTTCACAGGGTGATGTTTGTAAAACCTAATTCATTCTCATTTCTCTGTTCATAAACACTCAAATGGTTTCCTATCTCACTCTGGACCACAATTTTAGAGCAGTTACCATGTGATCACCAAGCCCATGTGACCAGACTTTTCACCATTTTCTGAATGTGTCTGCCATTCCCCCCAATGCACTGCCTTTTGGCAGGTCTTTAAAGATGTGAAGCACATTTCTGCCTCAGGGCATTTTTACTTGTTAGACCCAGGGGTGCTAGAACACTGTTCTGCAGAGAAACACAAGGTTCACTACCCCACTCTCTGTTCTGATTTATTTTATCTCTTCAAAGGAATCTTTCTTGAATAATATATCTATTATAGTAAGTACAACAACCATTTCTTTCATCATTTTATTTTATTTTATTTTATTTTATTTTAAATATATTTTATTGATTTTGTACAGAGAGGAAGGGAGAGAGATAGAGAGTCAGAAACATCGATGAGAGAGAGTCATCGATCAGCTGCCTCTTGCACACCCCCTACTGGGGATGTGCCCGCAACCAAGGTACATGCCCTTGACCAGAATCGAACCCGGGACCCTTCAGTCCCCAAGCTGACGCTCTATCCATTGAGCCAAACCGGTCTCGGCTCTTTCATCATTTTAACCTCATTTATTTTTCTTCTTAGTTCTTATCAGTCTCACATATATTTACTTGTTTGTGTATTTATAGTCTGTCTCCACTTACTAGAGTATGAGCTTTCTGAAACAAAGCTTTCCATTTATTTTGTATACTTGTATATTTCAATATTCTAGAACAAAACTTGGAATATAGTAAGTGCTTGATAAATATTAGTCAAATAGGTCAATCCCTAATGTGGTTCTCTAATACTAATTAGGCAATAAACACTATTCTGATGAACTATTTATGCAATTATTCCACCTGAAAATCACAAACCAGGAGTAGAACATGGTGGGTAAAGACTTAAAGTAGTGAGATAACTTTTACTATAAAGTATAATTTTAATCATGCTGTTGAAAGAGAGATTAACAATAGATTTACAATACAATGTGATATACAGCTCTTATGAGTGAGTAAATAATAAATAAGTCTAAATTCGTTGAACCCATTCTAAAATATATTTACCAAAACACAATAAATGTGTGTTAACATGGGTGCTTGAAAGGATTCAGAGCAGTAATTAAGGATCTGAGAGCACACTCTAAAATCTACTTTATGTGAACTGTCAGGAAGACAGAATCTGCATCAATACAAGAATTACAGTATATTTTATACTGTCTTGGTAGTTGTAGCTTAAGTTCAGTAATGTGACATCTGCATTTAAAGGACCAAAGTCTTGCTTCCTTCACAGTCATCTCCTCTATTTTCTGTGTTTTTGTTTTTATTTTATTTTTGCTTTTCAGGATCTAAGGCAATGTTTGGTAACTTGTGTGTGTGTGTGTGTGTGTGTGTGTGTGTGTGTGTGTGGTGAGAAAGAAATATAAAGTAATAGTGGAAGCATGAGTACATTTCTGTTTCATTAATTACTACATTGTGTCCTTAATTGTTTATTACTCCCTGTCTTAGTATGGCTTATCTCCTTGATTGGCTGACTGATTAATTGATCATGGAGATGAGGAGGATCCAGATTCATATAAGTAGAGAAAAAAATAACATCTAGTCACTAAACTATATCAAGAAGCAACATTAATTTGACTACCCATGCAATTGACTGTCATTAGCTGTTGAACCTCACCACCAGTATGACTTTCCCCTTTATTCTACGTGACAACAGCTTTGATCCTTAGTATTTTCAATTGCCAGGAAAGAGGTAGAAATGTCTTGACATGGATACTCGTTCAATGGTGGGCATCTGGGCTCTAACATCTGGCTTTTCGAATGATAGTTGTACCTTAAAAAAAAAAAAAGGAAAAAAAAGAGGTTCTAGATGAAACTTAAATCTTATCCACGCTCAGAAAACAATTTGCACCATGAGCCAAAACAATTCTGGGAATGATGGGACCAAGCCAATGGATATTCTAACTCTCTGTCACTGTTACCCTACTGTTTAGAAGTAGCTCCCATGTCAGAATTACTCTTTAACTCCGAATAAGCACTTCATGCCTAACCCAAGGCCTTTCAATCTTCACTTTTCTATTTTGGGTTTCAGGTTTACAAATCTTAACTGATCTCCTCCTGGAGTCAATTAATGAGAACTGGATCTCAAAAATGCTCTACCTTCAACATGAAAGGTTAATCCTGAATTCAGTAAGGCACAAACTCAAATATTGTTTCTAAAACTGAAACATAACAACTTTCACATACTAACCAACAAACTGACCTCTGAAGTTTTTTGTGATGGACAGATAAATGAGATTCTATTAATACCATTGAAATTGGCTAGTTATTAACAATAGAACAGGAGTAGAGGGGAGAGACAAGACACTTTAGGCATGTTATTTGGGCAACTTCACCAGAAAGCTGCAATTCACAGGCCCATTCCCTGTGGACCCCTGGGGGAAGGGAGCTACCAAATGGGAGATGAAGGCACACACAAGCAGTTGACATTACAAGGGAAAGAGCCTGTCAGTCAAGCCTGGGGAGCAATGGCTTTGTATAGACTAGCCAGGGCCATTGCTAGCCTTCACAAATTTGGGAATACATAAACCAGCTGATAAGAAAGCTCCCTCACTTGTGTGGTTCTCACGCTCCTTGGGCTTTATTCCTGTCCCTGTTGTCTCCATAGCTACATGTCCCACAGCCATGTGGACCTCACATGTAATGGGCTATAAATGGAAACAAAAATTAAGGTAGCTTGTTGCTCTATTTGATTGTGGAGACATGTACCAGAACTTTGGACACTGACCTTGATTTCAGAACTGCTGAAAACAAATGGTACTTCTTTCTTGGCAGGACAAAGGGAAATGGGACTTTGGGAACTCAGGGGTATAACTGCACTGAAATGAAGCTTCCTATAATGTATCACCTTACCATGTGAGTCTCAGAAATTTCCTTCTCTGAGGATATTGCAACAAACCCACTCCCACCAACAAGTGGTGACGGCGAAGACATCTCCCCACTGATCACACTATTCCTAGACTTCTCCTAGCAATGCTTTTGGAAGTACAATGTCTAATTCCTACTCATCCAACAGGACTTAATTTCCAAAGCTCTCATTCACGGAGATCCTTACTCATGTTACAATGCAATCTTCTCCTGTTTTCTAAAGGTGGGTTCCTCTTTGCCAATATTACTACTATTCTCTACAGTTTTCTATTTAAAAACAACCATACAGCCCTCGCTTGTATGACTCAGTGGATAGAGTGTGGCTCTGTGGACTAAAGCATCATCTCTCATCATTGATGCTTCTATCTCTCTCTCTCCCCTCTCCCTACTCTATAATATTAATAAAAATACATAAAAAGCAGCCCTACTGCCCCATCTTCTTAATATCCTAAAGGGACATAGGTATTGGTATTCATGCACTGATTTATTGAATGAATATTAATTCCTATGTGCCAGCATGTTGAGGTGTTGAGCAAATCCATGCCTTCATGAAGCTTGCATTAAAATGAGTAAGTATAGGTAAAAGCAAACAGAATGTATGCCTAATGAGTGGTGGTCAGAAAAATGGAGGAACCAAATTAGGAGGGAAGGGGGAATAAGGAATTGCCTGAGGTGGAAAAGGAATTTGGTCTTCCTTTCTGGACGAAACCATTCAAAGAATCCCTTCTCCCTCTCTCTCTTTCACCTGCCCTAGGTCTTTTGTTTGGAGCCTCTCACAATCTGTGAAGACAAATGTGTTTGCTGGTCTACTTGTTTAGTATCCATCTCTCTCACAAAATGGTCCTGAGTAGCCTTATGACACATATATGATTTACACTGGTGTCACAGAATAGCAATAATTACCAAGTACAATAACATGCAGTATGTGTTGTGTGTTTTTTCAATAAAGTAAGCCATACAAATCACCTCAAAATACTTTCCATTCTTTGACTTTAAATATATGTATAGCCCATAACAAATAAGCTTACATGTTATATTATTTTGTTCTATTTGGATTTCATGCAATTTTGGGGTAACATCTTTTTTTCCTAAATCAGATGACAACCCCTGGATAATGGAAACCAGGCACTGTTCTACTTTTCTTTGCCTGACAAAGCCTGTTATTGTCATTTAAAATAAGAATAAGAGCAAGGCTTTCTGCACACACACACACACACACACACACACACACAAACAGACACACACACACACACACACACACACACACACACACACGATTAGAAAAGGCAGAGGAAAAAAGCTTACCTTCCGAAATACTTCCTCGAGGTGAAGGCGCCAAGAATACTCTTTGAAGCATCTGATTAGCTGTGCGATGAAGGCAGAACCTGTACTAGGGTCTCTCCAGGATATGTTATCTAGGAAGATAAGGGATGGTCAGCCTTGGACTGTGCCTTTGAATGTTTTCTTTTATCACACATTTGTTTTATGTAGTTTTTGTGCTTTTTAAGCATAGCTTAGGAATTAACTTGACATGTTATAAGGAAACACTTATATCTTTACATTAACTAATTTTCCAAAAAGAAGAGAAAAAATATCAAAACACTGGCAAAGATTTAAATGAAGGGGTAACTCACCAGGATTTCACTAATGATTGCATTATATTCTTAGAACTGACTCTTACTATGTGCTTCATATTCATTCCCTTGGTTTTGAAAAGGGGCTTGAGAGATAACTGAAATGATCCCATTTTACAGAGGAAATAATAGATGCTAAGAGGATTAAATAACTTTCCCACGCTTATACAGTAAGTGACAAAAAATGGGTCCCTGTCTTCCAGGTTGTTTACAGTGTATACAGCAGACTGTCTTTCACAAGAGTATAAGCATGGTAGGTGAATAAATCCAAAGGAAGCTTTGAGAGGGGCATATAACTATGGCATAGATTGTGATGATGGTTTCACTGGTGTATATTATATGCAAACTCACTGTGTTATAGACATTCAGTATATACAGCATTTTGTATGTCAATGAAACCTCCATGAGCAGTGACTGGCGTTGCTCATTTAGAGCATAGTCTACACATTGGAGAGTCTCGGGTTTCATTCCTGGTCAAGGGCACATACCTGGGTTGCAGGTCAGATCTCTTCACCTTGATCAGGGGGAGTGTGGGAGGCAACCAATTGATGTCTCAGTCACATGGATGTTTCTCTCTCTCTCTCTCTCTCTTCACTTCCCTCCCCTATCCCTCCTTTCTACTATTTCAAAAATTAATGGGAAAAAAAAACTCTCACTCCTTGGGTGAGGATAAAAAGAAAATAAAAGAAAACAAAAATAAAACAAAAACCTCCATGGAGTTGTTACAAAAAGAAAATATTTAACACAAAAATTTGCAAAGTAGAAACATTCAAATGTCAGAGGCTTCTTAAGATGACTACCTAGAGGTCAAGGTCTAAGCACTGATCCCTATTGTTAGGCCTGCTAAGCCCAGAGTATAATTTTCTACCTCCTTTAAAGGATCTCCTCCTGCAGAGCCATGCAATGGCTCCCTCTAAAGAGCATCTAATGAGAACTAAGGAGAAAAGGAGCTGCTGTTGGTAATTTAAGGAGGGCAGCCAGTCCCAGGATCCATTAAAACCCCACTCAAAATGTTAAATAGATTTGATATAAAAAAAGAATCAAATTTGTTTTTTAAATGGTGTATGGGGATCCAGTTCCTTGTATTGGGTTGTTCTAATATTTGGTTTAGCTTTTACCATAAAGTGCAGCACTTGTAATAAAAGTACAGTTTTAACAAGTGGAAAATACAGATCCTCGGTTTCCATAGAATAGGTCAGTTAAATGTAAGTGGTTTTGAAAGCCCTCATAAAGTGTCTTATGTCTTTGCTGCATGGAGTGTATCTCAATATTCTAGACTCATTCCCAGGCTGCCATAAACCCACAAACCCTTGTCCGTAACTGGAAGACCTACGTGGGGTTGAGGAGCAGAAAGCAATGAAGTCCTTCTCCACGTGAGCTTTGGAAATGGCCTCTTCTTCCATGCTATCAGCTGACTGTAAAGGGTTGTCCATCACGGCTACTGGAGAGTCACTGACCCAAGTTTCCCCGCGGTTTTCTGTAGAGACATTAACTTTGTGCAAACTGTGTGCCTGCCTCAGTATGGCTGTCACATGGTCTACCTCAATCTTTTTAAATGTTTACTCTCACCAATTTCACACACACACACACACACACACACACACACACACACACTAAACCCTTGCCCGAAACACATATCTTGGCCTCTCTCTAGTGTCTTTGCCCAATGTGCCAATTAATAGCAGCAGCATCTTTTAAGCAAACAGTGATAGTACCAGCAAACTGGAAAAACCCCTTTCCTAAGAAGAGCAAAGGACATTAAAACCATATCTGCGTAATTTCAGAGCCTCCTTACCATTTTTTCCAGCTAGGCTATTTCTGCTTTTTTCTCCTAACAGTGCTCCATAATACTGAGGACATTGGAAGTCAGCAAAAACAAAGGAAATGTTGACAGCAATGCCAAGTGCCCACATCTCCCTACTCACTTCCCTTTCAGTAAACACCTGAGCAGAAAGGGTGCTGCTCCTATAGAACAGTCCCACTTTCCAAGGGAATTCTTCTCAAGCCAGAGAATGTAAGACATTGGCCAGTAGGGCTGTCATTAACATGACCTTATTCATGGTTTAAATATTTGTGTTCAGCTTTGATTTAGGGATTCTAAAGATTTCCTTCACCATTACTTTGGGTTAAATTGATTAGATATTTCTTAGCAGAAAAAAACAATTTCTCATGATACCAACACCCTGTGGAGTTTCCCAAGAATTTGACTCACTTCATTTGCCCTGAATGGGGTCTAGGCTTGTTTCCCCCACAAGCAAATCATACATCACAAAGCATTGCAAACCCCTCATACCCTTTGGATTTTCCCTGTCAGAACTCACCACCTCTGCAGGCCTGGACAATGATGACCTTCGGCTTGTCCTTGAGACTGGGGCAGTTGCGATTGTTGAATATCCGAAAGATGGTGTCATAAGGCAGCACATCTGGGTGTTCGTCGCTATGCCTAGTCCCACAGAGATAATCCAGGAGGCCATGCGACATGAACACCAGGAATGTGCTATCTGAGGTACTGTGCTCTTTTTGGGAAGCAAATGTCACCAGCACTGACTCCATCTCCTGAAAAAGGCCACAGAATGTTATTCTAAAAGGACCAGCATTACCATCAAACTGACCACCCATTTGTCCTGAGCAGTATAAATGTCATATAAAATGTTCCAGTCACTGTGCTTCAGATAGTGGTACTCAATGATAGTTTTCTTTGTCTTCCCACAATAGAGCTGGGGTTCAAGGACCTGCTCCTGCTAATATTGTATGAGCTGCCCTTTTGATGTATTTTACATTTGTTTATTTTCACTTACATACTTTTTTCTTTCTGTCTCTGTATTTTGTCTAATTAATTAATAGGAGGCATACATCATAAATGTATCATACCACTTCCCTTAAACAGCCATTGCCACTGTACTTAGAATAACATCAACCTTCTGACATATATGTACTCCTTCCTGCCACCCTCTCTAGGCTCTCCTTAGTCTAATCTTTTTGTATATTTCATGTGCCAGTTCCATATGTAGTTCAGACTTCTCATGGTAGTCATCCCTATTGGAATGTACTCCATTCGCATGTTCCCAGACATGTCCTGTTTCTGGTAGTCATCTGTGAGATCCCATACTGTCTCCTGACAATGCTTTTCCTGACAGTTCCATCAAAGCAATTACTCCCCATTCACCAATGCACTTTTCTGTTGTCTTTTCTTTTTCTATTTACTTTTAATTTCATTTTCACTATTACAGAAAGACACAAGACACATCAAATCTAAGGTGACCAGATGTCCCACTTTTGGCGGGACAGTCCTGATTTTTAATAATTTGTCTAGATTTGGGATTTCTTTGAAACACTGCGGGAAGTGGGGACAGATAGTTAAAAATTGGGATTGTCCCACTGAAAGCGGGATGTCTGGTCACCTTAATCAAATCTATGAAATTTTCTGTTTGGCATTTCATATGCTTGCCCCCACCACTAAATCTAAATCAATTTGAACTTGGGATTTGCTGTCTCATTCACAGATCTGGGTCCAAGTCAGGACTCAGTATTTACATGGTGAGTAGATTCCTTTTGAACATTCATTACTGTAGAATTTCCTGGGAATATTGGGTCTGAATCCCAATCACCTCACTTTTTAAATAAGAATTATGTGTATATAATTGCATGCCAGTCACTTTGTGTCTAGTTTTATGGAATTGAGGATATTTGGAGCTCAAAGGAGACAGAGAGTTCCCCTGTCTAATAATTTCATTTTATAAACACACATACTCACATGCGTGTGCACACACAGAGAGATATGTGGCCTAAGGTTGGTAAAGTATCTGGCTATCCTTATAAAGTTAATTTGTTAGCAGGAGGGTGTGTAGAATATGTGCTTGTTTGGGGTGGGTGAGGAGCCCCTACCTTGGCTGTGAGGTTCTCTTCCACAGTCACACTGTAGCCGAGGCCCACAAGCAACTCTTCCATCCCTGTGATGTCAAGTTCAGCCCCCTGCCTGGGCTGAAGATGACCAAACTCTCTGTTGCATATGATGAGAGCCAGGCGAGTGCGGCTTGTTTTCTCCTTTATTGGATAGATCTGCAGGAAATATAATAGATATGCAGTGAGTTTGATTTACCTTAATCTCTTTTAAACCTTCATATACTAATCTATGTTGCTTTGTTACAGGCTCATGGATCTGCAGTGTCCCCTGTACTATACCCGAGAACTGATTTTTTTCTTTGTAATGCATTGAACTGAAATAAGAGAGATGTGAGAATTGAAAGTGATTTAGAACTCTCATATTATATAAAAATAAAAAAGACTGAGAAACAACAAAAAAATGTTATTTATTTTCCAAGAGCCCAGAAGGGGACCTAGAACATATTTGGGATACTTTTCCAAGAAACTTGAAGAGACTAGCACAATTCCAGCCATAGCTTTCTCCTCACTCTTCTCCACCTGGACAAATAATTTTCAGTGTTCAAGGTTCAGATCAAATTTCACAAAAATCAGGAGACATTTGCTATTGACTATAGCTAAAAATAAATACATCAAAGATGCTCTGCTTTTGGTAACATCATTATTTCAGTATTATTTTTAACACATAAGATAAAATAGGTTTCAAGTTTTAATCATATTTAAGACATGTTTTGTGTCTAGGCTTTTCAACTAGTATGGAAATAATTACTAAATATTTTGATATAATTACTAAATATTTTGATACAGCTATAGCTTAATTGTAATAAATCTCAAATAGAACAAATAACTGAAGAGAGATCTGTATTTTGTCATGGGGTTGAAAGAAAATTAGAATCGGTGTGAGGTTACCTGAGTTCCTCCTTGCTCAAAACAGCTAATGAAAAAGATTGTCCCTGTCTCCACCCTACCACTCTGCAATTAGTGCTTTAGGAAATCCTGTCCTTAGTGAAAGTGTTTCTCTATTTTATGGGTAGAACACAGTACCTCTTTAGCCCTTTCTTTACACACTTTCAGGAAATCTTCATGAGGACAAAGCTTGAGGGTATCTGTAGTTTCTGCTGACTCAGCTGGCCCAGTCATTTCTGGAGGAACTGTAGGATATATCACATGGCATCACATGATGTAAATTTTAATATCTGCATCTGTTACCCATGATAACCTAAGACATACTGACAGAGAAGGTAAATCATGAGTTTTTAAAACACTTTTAAATGTAGAAATTTTCCTTGTATATAACCTCTGATATGAAGAGGTGTATTGTGATTGAGAAAGAAGAGGGATATTCTTGGTAGCAGATCCATCTATAAATGTAATAATAGATGATGATTATAATGAGAAAAACATCTTCCCTGGTGATTTGGGCCAAACTTAGCCATTTATATTCAGCTAAAACACCTTGAGTCTTGAAATATTTTACTCTAGAGCACTCACTCATCTAGGTGGATGGTTTCTTGTCACTGAGCAAGAGTATATTGAATAAATATTTAATAGAGGGCTATTCATTAGAAACATAATTAAGTCACATGTGCAATTAAATTTATTCTACTCTTTGAATTAAAAAGGAAAAACAAACAGATGAAATTACTTTAAATAATATTTTATTTGACATAATATATTCAAACTACCATTTTAATGTGTTAGTAGCCACAATTCAAGCACTCTATAATCACAATGTGGCTGGTAGCTATTATATTGGCTAGAGGCCTGGTACACAGATTCCTGAAAAGGTGGGGTCTGGCTGGCCCACCCTGATCTAGGGCAATTGGTCTGCCCAGCTGGGGGAGGGGGGAAGGGGCCATGGGCCCCATTCAGTTGTGGAACTCCCAGAGGAACAGACAATTTGCATATTAGCATTTTATTATATAGGATGGTATAACATCCCAAGCCTGCTCCTAATATATACAGAACACAGACACAGACACAGACCCACACTAAGCACCTAAAAGAATCCTGAATCCTGTACCATCCAGGCATTTTTTATTTTTAGGGACCTCAGCCTGAATTCTTAATTGTCCAGAGGAGATGGACTTCTAAGATTCCTTGAAAAGCTGGGGTTGAAAGAAATGATAACCAGCCACCAGAATAATGATTCCAGGGTCAGAGGGAGAACATTTTGCTCAAAGATTCTAACATGCACTAGATGCCCTTGCCTTCAAAGTTCTGATCAACCAGCACTAAATTTTCAACCCAACTTTTAAAATGTGAGGGAAGAACTCCTTCCTTTTGAAGAAATTTGTTTCTGACTCATCCTGACTCAATCCTTACAAAAATTTAAGTATATCTGTCACAGCTTGGCATCACTTGACAAATTTTGCAAGAGACTGGGAAAGTCTAGCACTCCTCCTTTCTGAGGAAGGAGTAAGAATTCATAAACAATAGTGGAGAGGTTTGACAGATCCAATTAACAAGATATTTGTCCAGGAACAAACCTTGAGATTTATTTACATGAACCAACCAAGGTCCTCCCTGATTTATTTATATTTTTACTTAAAAGAAAAAAAAAGATATTACCCTACATGAATGTTTTAGTTTCTATATTATATAACTTTTCTTATTTATTCCATTAGTTTTTTTCCATAATATTTTTTATAAACGTCTTTCTAAGACACTGAACCTCTGGAGATGCAGCAAATTTCTAGTCTCTAAGGAAACCAAGCTTTCAGAATATCTTTATAGAATAAACAGAAGCATGCTCTCCCTTCTCATTTCAGAAGATTCTGGTAGTATAAAGAAACCCTAAGTCCTGGGATAGTCCCTCATTAGAGGGGATATTTCTCAGCAAATTCCTCTTCTTTTTCCAGGTTATCTGCAAGTTTGGTGAATGCTCTAACTTAAGAAACATCATCTCCCAAAGATCGTTGTGTCTCTATATAAATATAGTGTTTGCAGTTGAGTTTGGCAATTAAGATTTCTATGTTACATCTAATAATACAAATTAGCATGAAAACAAATACTCTCATTACAATATAATAGATATTATAGTAGGGCCTGTTGCCCCATATGAGTTTCTAGCAGCCTGGGAATGGAGCAGAAAGTAATGGGAGAATTAGGAGTTTAGATAAACTTTAAAAAGCTCAGTTTACCCGTGACCTAAGGACATATTCAGGAAACCCCTTCAAAGGATATAAAAAAGGAAGGGACTGGTATGGGATGAGACAAACCCATATCCCTTGGTGGGTAGCAATTTGAGTGCTTATCTCTCTGATTAAATAGCAATTCTTGGTATATAGTATGTGTCTATATATGAGTTTGTTGAAATAAAATAAGCAATCAAATACCTTGTATTCTTTCTATCTCCCATACCTTACCCTCAATATTATACTAGGGACCTCAGAATTATACTATGTCCAAACTGCCTGGCCAGGACCTTACTTGTTCTAACAGCCCACCTCACCCAGCTCCTGGTCTGCTAGGTCAGCGGCCCTTTGTTGTCCTAGGGTCACCTTGAAGGCTCCAGGTGCAGATAGCGCCCAGGGAACCACAGAACACATCATCACAGGGTGTGTGCCTGCCTCTCGCCTGCCACTCACTATCTCTGACGATGAAGTTGTTTATCTCAGCTTGGTTTGATGCTTATTGTGATTCCTGTAGTTGCTAAAATTATTTTATAATTTATATTATTCAAATGTGACTTCTGTTTGCAAATGTTTTATTTTGGAAAAAAACAAACATCCAATTATTCCTACCTGATCCCAGATTAAAGAGAAAGTAAGAAACCTGCACAAGGAGCAGTGTGAATACTGAGAACACAGCTCAGGCCACAATGTTGGACATCTCCCAGACAAGTGTGTCCTTCCTTTGGGGCAGAATGTTCCTTCCACCTGGAGAAGGGCTTCTTTCAAAAGCTTGTACACATATGCACATGACCCATGGACACAGACAACAGTGTGGTGAAGGCCTGGAGGATGGAGGGGGAAAACGGGGCATATGTAATGCTTTCAATAATAAAGAGAAAAGGAAAAGGAAAAGGAAACAAAGGCTTATGTGTAATTGTGAGGGCTCTATAAGATATGTAGCCTTTTGTGCATTCTTTTTTGTTACTATTTATGAACTCTGTATTCAGGGTTGGGATTCTGGGTTAAACTGCAGCAGGCAGAGTCGGTCACTGTTGAACTTGGGCCTGAGGACATGTAGTCTCTAGTAGCATTCTTAGTTCAATCTAGGTCAAAATGTTTGAAAGATTTCAAAATATTTGAAACTTTTTAAGTATTACTGGAAAATTCCAAATATTACTATGATAATAATGATTATTAATATTTATTGCAAGCATGGTCTTAGTGTGTCTACTCATCTTATATTTATTATGTGCCTGCTTTGTGCCTGGCACAAAGAGCTCTTACTCATTGGTGAAGAGAACAGCTGCACTCTGGATTAAGAAAATTCTTGGATTATAGTTCCAATGAGATACAAAGAGAATAGATTTGATTGGGGGGCATGAGTGTATAATTTCCTTTATCTTAGGTGTGTGAAGCCAGGGGAATATTTGAGTGGAAATGGAGACCATGCTGCTAGAGGTCAATGTAACTGGAGCTCAGGGAAGAGTGCTGGATGAGAAATAAAATCTTAGGAGCTGTCAGCATATGCATACCACTCTGTTCTTAGCCTGATGAACCTTGCAAAATTCCTAAAATTGCCCCCATTTCACAGATTCTGAGACTGATGTCTAAGGAGGTAAAGAAACTTGAAGGAAGTCATATATATGTAGTGTCCAAAGAGACAGAACCAGCGCCCCAGATCAGGTATCCCTAACCACAAATTCTCTAAGTGAGCTATTTCCATGAGCAACCTAAACACAAACACTCATCTTCTTAGCTAATCAGAAACCAAATCTCCTCTCACAAAGGACAAGGAAACCCCAAAAGAAGGCAAGTGAAAATAAGATTTTAGGAATTAAGAATGGGGAATTACAGAGGACACAGGAAGGGCATTGAAAATAAACACATTCCAGATAATTTGAGATATTTGTTGTAAATGTCTCTATTCTTACCTTCATTGCAGATGGCATTTTTGTTTGTATTAACAAAGGCTTTGACAAGGATTTGACCTGCTTCAATGCGTTTCTGTCCCACAGCATCCAGTACAACCTGGATCTTGTCTCCAGGCTTGGCATCATTGAATTTTTTCTTGTCAGTTTCCTTCAATTTCAGAACATCTTTTGTCACCAACATATCCAAAACTCCAGCTAAGATCTCTTTCCCAATAGATTCCAAATCCTGAAATGGGTTTTTGTTGTGTCCATCTGTCAGAAATACAAAGACTCCTTCAACTATGGGCAAAATCTAAAGAATTTTGTACTATATCTAGAGAGCTCCCTAAAATGTGAAGTACTATTGAAATATCCTCTGACTATTTCAATGTTTCTTCATTAAAATACAAACCTTTTTCATTACCACCTGGGATGGTTGGAATTTTTATAGAGGAATATAAAAGTCAAAGTGATAAGTGATTTTTTAAGACTACAGCTATGACTTTGACATAGATAGGAAGGCAGGATATCTCATCAATTCTCAATTAATTCTAAGATAATTATTCAGTCCATCTAGATATAAGGATAGCCTGGACATAAAAATGACACTTTCTAAAGAAAATGTGCCAGGACATTGAACAAGAACTTGAGCCTAGAAACACTAGCCTCATTCTCCATGTCATCTTGAATTATTTCAATAAATGTTTATTTAGTAGCAATTATGAGAAAGAAACATGGAAATTACAAAACATAAATTAAATGTTACCTTATATCAATTAGCTTAATTGCAGCTAACATCTCTTGTCCACTTAAATTTATTGAAAAAGAAATACATATAAAGCAATGTAAAACATCATCATCACTATTATTATTATTATTATTATTATTATTATTATTATTTACATGACACTGTAGTAAATACAAACATTAATATGCCATAGCCTTACAATAATCTAATGAGATAGCCATTATTTTTCTCTATTTAAAAATCATTTGCCCCAAATCATACAGATTGAGATTCAAATTCTATTTTTATAGCACGACACCAGTAATAATAATTCATATTTATCAAGCCCCCACAGGTGCCTAGTGCTATGCCTGAATCTCCTCTCTTAAACTCTACCAAAACTCCATCTAACCAGAATGTTAATAATTATATTATATAACAAAGAAATGAGACACAGTGATATTGCTTAAGCAAAGAAATGAGACACGGTGATATTGGATAAGTAATTGACACAAATTGTATGTTTAGTGCACAGTATGTATAGTAAGTGGAGGGAAGGGAATCAAACTCAGGGGTTCAAAGTCAGTGGTTCAAAGCCTTCACACACACACACACACACACACACACACACACACACACTTAAATCATCAAACTACATTACTTGTTATTTGGTGAAGAATTACTTAAAATAACGCAGTGTTTCAGGGACTCAAGGAACACTGGGTAAATTTCTGCAGGTGAGACCACAAAGACTCGTTATAAAAGGTAATGAAAACATGGAGATAAAACATAGTATACAGATGATAGAACAGAGAGTTTGAATAATTGCAAACAGCATACAGTTAGTGTATGGAAGATTTAATCTACCTGAGTTCTGGGCTTCAGTTTCATTTATCTGTGCACTCAAGAAGGTTGTATAGTGTTCACTGAATGAATGGCATGGGGAGAAATGTGGTAAATAATACAACCAAAGTTTTGTCTTAGGTACTCTTTTCATCATCTCTACATCCTCATGGCTTCATTAGACATTACTTCCAAATTTATAGATTCAGCCCAGATGTGGATATTAAGATGTGGATATTCAGCCCATATATCTACCATACTTCCTCTCAATATACCAAAAGATATTAAACTTATCTTCAGAAAATTGATTTTATATATATATATATATATATATATATATATATATATATATACACATATATACACACACACACACACACACACACACACACACACATATATATATATATATATATATATATATATATATATATATATATTTCCTATCTAATACAAGAATAATATGCAAATTTACCATAACTCCAACATACAAGATGGCTGCCCCCATGTGGTCAAAGATGGCTGCCCCCATGTGGACACAATATAGCTGTCACAAGATGGCCAGCAGGGGAGGGCTGTTGGGAGTGACTAGGCCTGCAAGGGAGGGCACTTAGGGGTGACCAGGTGGACAGAGGAGGGAAGTTAGGGATGACTGGGGCCTGCAGGGAAGGGCAGTTTGGGGGACCCAGGCCTACAGGAGAGAGCAGTTATGGGAGACCAGGCCTGTAGAGGCAGGAAGTTGTGGGGAGACAAAGCCTGCAGGGGAGGGCAATTAGTGGTGACCAGACCTTCAGAGGACGGCAGTGAGGGGCAATGAGGCTGGCAGGGCAGCAGTTAGGCATGAGGCTGGCAGGGGAGTGGTTAGGAGTTGATCAGGCTGGCAGGCAGAAGCAGTTAGGAGCAATCAGGAATGCAGGCAGGTGAGCAGTTGGGAGCCAGCTGTTCAGGATTGTGAGAGGGATGTCACACTGCTTGTTTAGGCCTGATACCGATTATCTGGATACCAATTATCTGGGACCCCTCAAGAGATGTCCGACTGCCCTTTTAGGCCCGATTGTGAGAAGGATCCCAGATTAAAGAGGATGCAGGCTGGGTTGAAGCTCAGGCCCCCCTCACACAAATTCCGTGCTCCGGGCTTCTAATATATATATTTGAGGCCCAGTGCATGAAATACATGCAGGGGGTGAGGGGTGTCCCTCAGCCCAGCCTGCACCCTCTCCAACCTGGGATCCCTCTCACAATCCAGGACTGCTGGCTCAAAACTGCTAGCCTGCTTTCTTTCCTGATTGCCTCTAACTGCTTCTGCCTGCCAGCCTGATTACACCCTAATCACTTCCCTGCCAACCTGATTGATGCCTAACTGCTCCCCTGCCAACCTGTTTGCCCGAACTGCCCTTCCCTGCAGGCCTGGTTACCCCTAACTGCCATCCCCTATAGGCCTAGTTCCCCCAAATGCTCGCCCCTGAAGGTCTAAGTCCTCCCCCACCTCCCACAACTGCTCTTCTCTGCAGGCCCAGTCATCCCCAATTTTCCTCCTCGGGTGGCCTAGTCACCCCTAACTTCCCTCCCTTGCAGGCCTGGTCCATCTTGTGGTGGCCATCTTGTGTCCACATGGGGGCAGGATCTTTGACCACCTGGGGGCAGCCATCTTGTGTGTTGGAGTCATAGTCAATCTGCATATTATTCTTTTATTAGAGTCCGAGTGCATGGGTGGGGGCCTTCTGGTTTGCCCTGAATGGTGTCCTGGATCAGGGTGGAGGTTGCCTTGGGTTGTGCGGAGGCCTGGGCAAGGGGCATGTGGTAGTTTTCAGGCCAAAGCGGAGGCCCTGGTATCTGGGATTTATTTATCTTGTACAATTTAAACTTTGTAGCCTGAAGTGGAGCCAAGACAGGCAGGGCTGCAGAAGCTTGGCTTTCTCCATCGCCAAGGCTATCCCTAGCCTCCTGCTCTCTCCAGCTCCATGGCTGCCACCATTTCTGTTGGGATTTTTTAATCTTCTATAATGAAACTTTGTAGCCTTGAGTGGAGGCCTGGGCCCGCCAGGGTGTGTGGAAAGCTTGGCTTGCTCCATCATGGGGGAAACTCAGGCCTCCCTACTGCTTGCTCCTTGGCCACAGTCATCTTGCCAGGGGTTAATTTGCATATCCACTCCTGATTGGATGGTGGGCTTGGCTTGTGGGTGCAGTAGAGTGATGGTTAATTTGCATATTACTCTTTTATTAGATAGCACGATAGCAGGATAATATACCTGCTTTGTCCCTTTTACTAGTAAATGATATCTAAACACCAAGTTCATCACATAGTAATAGTGAATCTCTCCTGTTTTCTGAATAACTTATTTTCCATCTCATGTCAAATTGTATTGATTTTCTCTGCTAAATATTTACAGAATCTTCCCACTTCTCTCATTTTTAATTGCACATTATTACATTTCAGGCCAACATTCTTCCTTTTCTTAATTACTTCAGGAGATTTATAAATCTACTTTTGGATTCTTCTAATCTGTTCTCCACAATGAAGCAGAGTTAGGGTGCTAAAATCTAGATTTGATCATGAAACCTCTGAGCTTAATCTAATGTAGGTCTTCTCATTCATTCATCCTCATCTTCTGTCAGTTGTCCACCTTGCTCCTTACATTGTTTCCAGAAGGCCCTTACTTAGGAAGCTCTATGTGCGCAGTCTCCCACCCCCACATTCTTTCCTATTTCTCCACTCCTCCCTTAATCTTTATATCTCAGATGAGATGTCACTTCCTTTGGGAAATGATGCTCCCAAACTAGACAGAGTGTCAGAGGTATATGTTCCAGATGCCTTGTTTCTCAGGAGGCTAGCAATTTATTCATTGTCCTTGTTAATTGTATAATAATGGCTCACCACATTTGGTTGTTTATATTTATTGGGCCATTTATTTGTTTTTGTCTCTTGCCTTTCACTTTCTTACATCTATTATCTAATGATGCCCTGATTCCAATGTAATAATCACTGAGGCCATCCTGTGTGGCCAAAGTCTTATTATAGCAATGAGTGTGAGTTTTGCTCACTACTCTCCAGCCAAAGGCTTCATGAAGAAGACAAGAAATGAAATCCATCAATTTTGTATTATAGGAACTTAAGTTAAATGCCAAGAGATGAGTCATAAACTCTGGAGAGATTATACTATGAAGAGCACAATATTTATACTAGCAGCCCTGCACACAAATCCATGCTCCAGTAGTCCCTGCCACCCTCTTGTTCCTCCCTAGTCCCCACCCCTTCTCCTATCCACCCTAATAGCTCGCTACCCTGCCCCCTCCTGTCTTCTCCTCATCCAGCTTGTAGTTCATTGCCCCACCCTCCTGCAGATCTACAATCCAGTCATTATACCTCATGGTGTAACAGATAATTAGTATATTTCTCTCTTCTTATATAGGAGAGAGGTTAAATACAGTAAATATAAAATTTGCTTGTGAAGTTGAATTCATAGTTTTGTATTTTAGAGAGAGCAGTGGAAAAATGGATAAACATATGTTAAAAGGTGGAAAAACTTTTCTGAAATGTTCAGTCATTTTTAAAAAGGCAATAGGGAGCCTCAATGTAGTTTTGAGTAAGGAAATTGCATGTAGAGATATGAGAACTGAGAGACAACTAGTTACTCTTCCTAACTGTCTATTTAAGTTCCAGAAATTCAGGGGCAGGATCACATGAACATTTAAAAATGCTATAGATAATTCAGATTTGTTATGAAGTTTAGAAACTGATGACCTAGTTGAACCCCTTCCTTTACGATGAGGAAAATGAAAAAGGCTATGATGTGTTTGACTACTAGCTGCAAACATAGCTCATCTCATGCTTTTTCAGCTTCTGTGTATCAGCAACATGATGCATTGGAGGGTTAAGACCTGGAGAGAAGAAGATCCGATCCCTTAAAGAACTGTGACAATGATCTAGGAAAAACTGCACCAGAACTAGAAAGAAAGGGGGCAAAGCAGTCACCTCAAAAGACCAAGTGTGTAATTCAAGACAGGAGATGGCAAAGGAGCAGGAGTTCAAAGTTGGCCTATGGGATCCTGGGAGCAGTTTGTCATCCAGATAACTAATTTGGAAACAGCTAGAAGCCAAAATATTTCAGAGGGCATTTAGACTTTTCAAGAGTTGCCTCACACAAAAATAACTTACTCTGTTTGTCTTCTCCCTCCCCTTTATTACCATGAGCTAAAAGGAATTAATTTTTCCTGGGTCTAAAATACCTGGAAACCTTGCTCTCCACCTTTCTAAGGCAATGTCCCTGGATGATTCAAGTTACACAAAGCTAATAAGGGGAAGAATTCAGCTTGCAAACCACAGACTCCCGTTTCCCTTTTTGTTATTTCTGTTTGTCAGGAGCAATAAATAGTTTCCTAAGACCCAAGCCCCTGACCCTTAGTCAGAAAAGACCCCTACTCACCAGCCATGGGTGCCACCAGCCTCAGCCCCTTCCTGCTGCTGGGAAGCAAGACACAAACTCAAAAATGAAAGTTTCTGGCATCTCCTCAGTGCAGGGGGTGGGGGAACTTCTCAGACATTGGACAACTGGTGGCCTATGAGATCCTGAGAGCAGTTTGTTACCCAGATGACTATTTTAGAAACAGCTAGTAGCCAAAAGGTTTCAGAGGGCATGTAGACTGTTCAAGAGTTGCCTCACTCAAAAATAACTTACTCTGTTTGTCTTCTCCCTCCCCTTTATTACCAATGAGCTGAAAGAAAAGAATTAACTTTTCCTGGGTCTAAAATACCTAGAAACAGTGCTTAAAACTTTGAGTTCACAAGTCTGTTCAGAAAAATCCCTTGGGAAGAAAATTTTCTTCCTTTCATTTTGGGAAAATAAATGTAAATGCTGAAACATTTTCCTATTGGCTGGCACACCTGACTGTTGTTTTCCCTTTTCCTTCTTTCACTTCATTGCCCTCAGACCTCCTTCTCTCTGTCCTTTTTCTGACCCCTCCGTATTTCTCCTCTGCTCACTTAAACCTCATAAACTCATGAAGGAGTTAAAACTAACAGATCTTATTGTATTTCCAGATAAGAATTATGCAAAATAGCTTCTGTTTTCTGTTTCCACTGTGCTGGTATCATCCCCTCCCCGTCTCCCTGTGATTTTGAGATTTTATGAATAAGGTCTGAAGAAATCTGCATCTCCACTGGCCTCATACTTTTCTGTAACTGCCTAAACCTGCCTGCATGATTAATTTTCACTGAGGAGGATTTCTCACTACCATTTTTTTTTTAATATTCTCAGAATAATGAGTCATCAGAGAAGCTGTCTCAGGCTGCAGAAGAACAAATGCATGGTAGTACAGAAAAGGTATGTACAGAAGATTAGTTAGTGGGAGAAAAAAACGACATTCAACTTGTCAGGTTTTCAAAAGTTCAGAAAGCCACCTCAACTCCTAATGGATTAGGATTAGGAAGGGCTCAAATTGAATGTGAAAGGTAATATTTTCAGTCCTTCCCAAGTCTAGCATTGTAGACTGGAGGATTTTAACTCAAACTCAAACTCATTACCAATGCACCTCACAAGAATATTATTTTGTATACAATACATGTGATGTCATGTATGGTAAGCTAATTGTTTTGTGTTTGTTGGGTTCTGTTCCAAATAGCTCTGTACACTGTGAGCTGCCTGGAGTTGAGTCAAAATTACTTTGCAGGCCTAAAATATCTTAAGAAAGGATCAAAATATGGAGTTTCTGGCAGTGGTAAACTCTAGCATTTTGGATACATCACTTATTATACTCTGCATCCCTCCTGGTGAGCAGCAGATTCTTTGAAGTCAGGTAGCTACTGATTTTAGCATCTGTATCCCTATAACTGAAAGCCCAGAGAATGGTTTCTAGAAAAAATGAATGGTGCTATTAGGTTGTTCATTGATCGTGGATCAAATATAAGGTCTCCAGATCCATTATAAGCTCCAAATCCCACTCCATAACTTCTCAGAGTAGAAAAACAGCTTAACAACTTTTTCTAAATTTCAGATTTATTAAAAAGTTGAAAGAAATGCATGTTTCCTGCAGACATAATTCCAAAAATGACAGGATCCTGGTTTCCTACAAGAAAACACACACACACACACACGCACACACAGACACACACACACACACACATATTTTAAAAAAGTGTTCTGCTAAAAGAAATGCAAGTTAAAAGATCACTCTACTCATGGGGACAGAAGGAAGAGACCAGGCTATGTCTAAATATTGCCCTACTGTGTGAAAGAGAGAGACATCTAAAACCAAACTTTCATCATTTCATGGCCACATCTCAGTCTATATCAGCTGACCCTGAGAAAGGGACATCTGATTGCTGAACTTTGAGACAAGAGCAGCATGCTCTGCAATGAACCAGCAGAAAGCATCCTTTAGTAGCTCCCATTTACTATGTGAGGCCTTGAGTCCTTGATAAGGATGAAGTTGAGGTTTTCTTTCCCAACCTTGCCCACCCTTTGCACATGCACATACGCACACACAACTGTCCATTGACACTGGAATCTCTCCCTGTCCCTAATTTTACTTTTCTGTAAATACATGCTGATGTCCAGGCAAATTGAATTGCTGATTGATCTCAACATTGCATACCTTCCCTACGTGAAGTCAGCTTCTAATTTACTTCAGCATAGATATTTCTCATTTGATCCCAAGCAGTTTCAGGAAACTATTTTTGCACCATGGGAGTTTACTAATTACTAATTTAGTGAAAGTATATGTGATCTCTGTGGGTACGGATAATTGATAATTTAAACTAGGAGGACTGCTTTAGTTGTTCTTCTGAAGTGTCATAGAAAGTTCAACAGACACCCATTCACTGCAGTGTGTGTGTGTGTGTGTGTGTGTGTGTGTGTGTGTGTGTGAATTTCTGTATTGGCAATGCCCAGAAAGGTGTCCTACACAGGCACCCATTACCTGGTGTTGAAGAACAGAAAGCAATAAAATCCTTCTCTCTACGGGCTTTCTTAATGGCATCATCTTCAAAATCTTCTGGAGCCAATGAGAAGCTGTTTCCAGAATCTTTTGCTGAATCTGTTAACCACACCACCCCTTCATTCTCTAGAAAGACAAGATTTTATATCTTGTTACTACCAAAAGCCAAAAGATTTATTTTCTCCAGTAAGCCTCTGTTCAACCGTATTTACTAACTCATTTGTACTATGAATCAAACATAAATACATTTGGGCATGAACACTTGAATTACAGCTCTGTGATTTTAATATCAAAAACGTTTTCTCGTGTGTGTGCGTTTTCACTACAGATCCCTTGCTCTGGATTACATTTTGAAAACTGCCTATTACCAATAACGCACCTTTCCAGGTATGCTTTTAAGAAACATATGTACTTATGCACACAAAGATGTATGCACACTTTTTCACGCACAAATGTCCACCTGATGCCTGCGCCGCCCACGTATGTGTGTCCGCACACCCTGTGCCCCGCATGAACAGGCTGCTCTGAACACACCAGAGCCCTGGTGGCCTCCCCAGCAAAGGTAACGGGCATCACTACACTGACTGTAGCAGGAACCTCTCCACCCCTCCAGGGCCTCCCCCACCGAGCTGTTAAGGCTGGGGCTCTGCCTAGGGCTCCTCATAGGGTTGGGGTGAAGGCCGGGCAGCCAGTGCAGGGAGGCACCTTCTAGCACCAATGGGTCTGTCTTTATTTTTAAAAGACTGCACTACACGCCCAGCCCTCAGCACCAACTCTGCCTTGGTGAGGGGCCGCCAGTGCTTTGCAGACAGGTCAAGCTCTTGTTTATGGCTGGTTCCCCTCTGGGGTGCTGGGCTGGCCCAGGTGAGGGGCTGCTCTCGGTTTACCAACAGGCCATAGCCCAGATTGTGACAGAGGTCCCCAATGGTTACTGGTTGTTTGGTTGTTTTGGTAGGGATGCCTCTTGGCCTTTTATTATTGTGTGTGTGTGTCCCTCAGCCCAGCCTGTACTCTCTTCAGACTGGGACCCTTGAGGGATGTCCCACTGGGATCGGGCCTAAACAGGCAGTCAGACATCCCTCTCACAATCCTGGACTGCTGGCTCCCAACTGCTCACCTGCTGCTTGCCTGATTGCTCCTAACAGCTTCTGCCTGCCAACCTAATCATCCCAATCACTCCCCTACAAACCTGGTCAACACCTTACTGCTCCCCTGCCTGATTGCCCCTAACTGCCCTCCCTTGCTGACTTGGTCACCCCTAACTGTCCTCCCCTTCCAGCTTGGTTGCTTCTAACAGTCCTCGCGTGCAGGCCTGGTCACTCTCAACTGCCCTCCCCTTCTGGCTTGGTCACCCCTAACTACCCTTCCCTGCTGGCCTGGTCACTTTTAACTGCTCTCTCCTGTAGGCCTGGTCCCCCCCCAACAGCCATCCTCTGCCGGCCCAGGAACCCCTAACTGCCCTCCCCTATAGACCTGGTCTCCCACAACTGTTCTCCCCTGCAGGCCTGGGTCCCTTCCAAATGTCCTGCCCTGCAGGCCTGATCTCTCCCAACTGCCATCTTTTGCTGGCCTTGTCACCCCTAACTGCTCCCCCTTTTAGGCCGGATCCCTCCTAACTGCCCTCCCCTACTGGCCTGATTGCCCACAACTTCCCTCCCCTGCTGGCCTGTGTCCCGCCGAACTGTCCTCCCTTGTAGGCTTCATTTCCCACAACTGCCTTTCTCTGCCACCCCGGTGGCCCCTAACTGCCTTCCCTTGCTCGCCTGACCATCCATAACTGCCCTCCCTTTGCAGGCCATCTTGTTGTGGTGGCCATCTTGTGTCCACAGGAGGAGCAGCCATCTTTGACCACATGGGGGTGGCCATCTTGAGTGTTGGAATGACTGTCAATTTATATATTACTATTTTATTAGATAAGATAATTCTGTAATATTTCTGCACAAGAAGGATATATATATAGGGTTTCCCAAAATGTGTACACATACTTTGAATAATTATACAGGCAATGCTTATTAAAATATATTTCATTTTCAAAATTGAGCTATCAGATGTTATTGTAATATACATTTTTGAGGGACCCTTATTTTCTCATATTGTTTTTTTCTCTATTCTTATTTTACTATTAAGCTTTTATTATGTACATCCTGTTAATTTTAGGAATTGCTTTTCTTCCTACATATCTAAAGTTTAATTTTAAATCACTAAAGAATTTTGAATATTATTAAATGCTTTCTTAAACATTTTAAAATATATTTTTCCTTTAATCTCTTAATTTGAGTATTGCAACCATAAATATTTCTGTTATTCAACTATAACTATATTCCCAGAGCAAATACTATCTAAAAATTATTATTTTTACAAACATGTGGCTGTATTGGTTTTGTCAACACTTTATTTAGAGTATTTACATCAATGTTCCTGAGAATCAGCCTATGTTTTTCTAACTTTGCCTCCATTCTCTAGTTTTGTATCAGTTTTGTACTAGCCCCATAAAACAATTTAAAGATGTTATTTCCATTTTTATTATATGGAAGTATTTATATAAAGTTATTCTCAGCACTTTCTTAGAAGTTTTACAATATATTTAATTATTATTTATTTATTTATATCTGTTATACTTTTGCAAGTATATATACAAAAAAATAAGCTGTTTAATGTTTATTGATACATTTGTCTTTTTATTTCTTCATGGATTAATTTTGTTACTTTACCTTTTCTAGAAAATCATTTATATTATGTATGGAGACAATTTTATAATTTTACTATATTTATTTTATTTGTATTTATGGTTCATTTTTATCTAAAATATTGTGTTTCTACTAATTCTTATTTTTCATACTCAAACTTACTGAATGTCGGCTATTAGTATTTTTTAAAGACCAGATTTTGCTTTTCTTGATATGCTCAGTATATTTTGTTTGTTTGATTCAGGACATCTCAGTGATTTTTTGTGTTTAAGTTCTATTTCCATTTTTCTATTTCTTCATCAGTTCACTATTTTTATGACTTATCAAGTCTAATGCTTAGTTTATTTTTTTTATTTCTTGTTTTTATATGCTAACATGTGTATGCAGCTAGTATATGCATATGAGATATTAATATATATTTGTATGTGTGTGCATTTTTTCCAACTGTATTGTGATGTGTGAAAATCTTTATGTTATTGGATTTTTAATATTACCACACAGTAGAAGAATGAATGCTCTATCATATGTGTTTTTAGATCTTTGTGAGGTGTCTCATGTTTCTACACAGACAGCCAAGTCCAGGAATATATGAATACATTGTGAATCTTTGTAGTGTAAGTTAACATGACAATTCAAAATTCAATTAACCCTTATAATTCAGAACTCTGATAGTTTATGTTTTTCATGGCTGTGCAGAGACAATGCACAACAGTGGTCAATAACTCAGATTTTAGAGAAAGTCAAATTGAGTTGAAATCATTCTGTAACAATCTACTAACTGAGTGGCTTTTGGCAAGTCATTTAAACTCTATATTACTTTATTTTAGTAGAGGTAGAATAGAGATATTGATAGTAATTACATTGCAGGGTTGCTGTGATGGTCAAATTGATTTCTTAAATATAAAATCCTTTACAGTAATCAAAATTATTAAAAATAATGTTAATATAGACTTAAATTATACAGAATTAATATTAAATATTATTGTTAAATTATTTTTAATAAATATTAATGATTATTGTTATATTTGAAACTGAGAGCATCTTATTTTTAATTCATTTCAGCTATGTACTCAAATATTTACTCAACATTATATGTGTATATAACAGAAGTTGTACTTACTTAGTAGCTCTGATAGCCATGGTGGGAAAATTCCTCTACCAATGTTCACCTTTCCAGAAATTTTTATATTCTCTGTCCCATTGTTGACACTCCCCATTCTCTTTCCATATTTTATCAGATAATATTTGTATTTCTATACAAATACAGTAAGGTCATCCCATATTGAACCAAATACCACATCATTTTAGACAATATCCAAGAGCTTGTTAAAGAATAAAGTTTGGAAATATGCAATCATCTGGAAAGAAAATAACAAGAAATTTAATTAATTGATAAAAAGATACATGGGAATAATTTGCTAAAATAATAGTTTACTGATGAAAATGTTATCTGGATTTATGATGGTTTAATAATAAATCAGAAAACTTCTCTGAACCACACTAGACATGGGTTGGATAAGGATACAGCTGAGGAGCTGACCAGTTTATGTTCTTGTCTTCCACCTAGGCACAGCTGCTGAGGGACAGTCAAGGCCAGCTCTCTGCACTCAGGAAATGCAGGGAGTGCATGAGTCCTAAGCTGGAAAATGCAGATAGCTCACTCCACTTCATTTCCATACATCCACATTCTTCACTGAAATTCTAGTCTATTAAAGGACCCAAAGACGCAGTTTATGTGTTTTCATTTTTTATTTAAATACAAAAGTTTAAATATGTATTCCATACTGGTAAAGGTGCTTTGAGAATTTGGTAAAGAAGGTCAGGACTGCCTGTAATTCCCTGTAAAAGAAGGAAAAAAAAAATCAAAAAACAAAACACAAAATACAGAAGGTGAGGATAGTAATTCCCAGAAGCCTTCAATCCGTCCCTGACCATCATTCCCCTTTCATCCTCTTCCATGTGCTTTTGCCACTTCCTTTACTCCAGTGACTGAAATATGGTAGCAACCATACTTGGTAGCAACCATAAACTGCTGTTTGAATGTTAACCCTGCTATTCTGGCTTCTGCACTTGCTTAAAGGTAGGGTAGTTGCCTCAGCTTCCAGGTTGAAACCTGGAGGCTAAGGCAATTTTCCTACAGGAGATTGATTCCCACTGACTCAGTAGCTTCAGGAGTAGAAACTGCAGATATCCTTTACAGATTAACTGCTGAGCTCTGCTTCTGTACTCTCTGCTATCACAAGGTAGGGCTACACTCCAATACCCAGCAGGATATGCCTGGGAATAACCCTGCGGGCTGTTCCCAGCCTTTAGAGTTTAGAATTTAGAACAAAGGAAAATTCTTGTGGTTTGGACCTTTAAAAGGACTGCCTACACCTGCAACAGCGCAGTCCTGTGGACTCCACCTGTGTGTGGTGCTCTTGAGGCCCTCCTGGCCAGTTAAATAAATCCTTGTGTGTGTTTTTTTGTGTGTGTTTTTTATTTGTTTTTTTTTTTAATCATCAGCCTCCGGTGGTCTTATTTTGAACCCAGCATTTGACTGCACAACAGTGACCCTTACAGTATATTCAGAAAAGTTCACAGGGTGATGTTTGTAAAATCTAATTTGTTCTAATTTATCTGTTCACAAGAACTCAAAGGGTTTCCTATCTCACTCAGGATTTCAGGATTACAGGTGATCACCAAGCTCATGTGACCAGACTTTTCACCATTTTCTGAATATGTCTCTGCCATTCCCCCCAATGCACTGCCTTTTGGTGGGTCTTTAAAGATGTGAAGCACATTTCTGCCTCAGGGCATTTGTACTTGCTAGTCTCAGGGGTGCTAGAACACAGTTCTGCAGAGAATCACAAGGTTCACTAGCCCACTCTGCTCATGCCCTGTTCTGGTTTATTTTATCACTTCTAAGGAGCCTTTCTTGAATAATGTATCCATTATTAGTAGTACAAGATTCATCTTTTTCATCATTTTAACCTCATTTATTTTTTTTTCTTACATATATATAGAGAGAGAGGTAAGAGCTAAGAAAAAAAATAAGAAAACTATATATATATAGTTTGTGTATTTATAGTCTCTTTCCACTACTTTATAGTCTCTTTCCACTTACTAGAGAATGAGCTTTCAGAAGCAAAAGCAAGATTTAAAGTAGTGAGATAAATTTTACTATAAAATATAATTTTAATCATGCTGTTGAAAGAGAGATTAACAATATACTTATAAAATATCACATGATATTAAGCTGTTATGAGTGAGTAAAGTAATAGTTGGGTCTAAATTCCTCAGACCCATTCTAAAATATATTTACCAAAAACAATAATTGTGTGTTAGTATTGCCATGGGTGCTAGAAAGGGTTTCAGAGCAGTAATTAAGGATCTGAGAGCACACTCTGCAATCTACATTTTGAGAAATATCAGAAAATTAGAATCTACATCAACACAAGAATTACAGTCCAGGGTGTATTTTATAGTCTTGATATTAGGAACTCAAAGTCAGTAATGTGATATTTGCACTTAAAGGAACAATATCCTGCTTCAGTCTCAGTCATCTCTATTTTATGTTTTTGTTTTTTGCTTTTTCAAGATCTGAGGCAATGTTTGGTAACTCAGTGTGTGTGTGTGTGTGTGTGTGTGTGTGTGTGTGTGTGCGTGTGTAAGCTAAGAGAGAGAGAAATATAAAATAACAGTGGAAGCATAAGTACATTTTTGCTTTATTAATTACTACCATGTGTCCTTGATTGTTTATAACTCCCGGTCTTAGTATGGCTTATCTCCTTGATTGGCTGACTGATTAACTGTTAATCAAATGTGGAGGATTCAGGTTCATATAAGTAGAGGAAAAAAATACCTACGAGTAACAACGAGTCTCTAAACTACATCAATAAGCAACATTAATTTTTCTACCCAAGCAATTGGCTGTCATTAGCTGTTGAACCTCATCACCAGTATTACGTTCCCATTTATTATACACATCAACAGCTTTGATCCTTACTATTTTCATTTGCCAGGAAAAAGATAGAAATATCTTGACATGGATAGTCGTTCAATGGTGGGCATCTGGGCTCTAACATCTGGCTTTTCGAATGATAGTTGTACCTTAAAAAAAAAAAGGTTCTAGATGAAACTTAAATCTTATCCACGCTCAGAAAACATTTTTCATCATGAGCCAAAACAATTCTGGAATGATGGGACCAAGCCAATGGATATTCTAACTCTGTCACTGTTACCCTACTGTTTAGAAGTAGCTCCCATGTCAGAATTACTCTTTATCTCCAAATAAGCACCTCATGCCTAACCCCAGGACTTTCAAACTTCACTTTTCTATTTTGGATTTCAGGTCTACAGATCTTGGCTGATCTGGAGTCAATTCATGAAAACTGGATCTCAAAAATGCTCTACCTTCAACATGCAAGGTTAATCCTGAAGTCAATAAGGCACTAACTCAAATATTGTTCCTAAAACAGGAACACAACAACTTTCACATCGTAACCAACAAGTTGACCTCTGAAGTTTATCCTCATGGACAGATAAATGAGATTCTATTAATACCATTGAAATTGGCTAGTTATTAACAATAGAACAGGAGCAGAGGGGAGAGACAAGGCGCTTTAAGCATGTTGTGTGGGCAGCTTCACCAGGAAGCTGCAATTTCATGGGCCCATTCCCTGTGGACCCCTGGGGGAAGGGATCCAACAAATGGGAGATGAAGGCACACACAAGGAGTTTGAGTTACAGGGGAAAGAGCCCATCAGTGAAGACAGGGGAGCAATGGATTTGGCTAGACTAGGCAGGCCAATTGAAGCTGGCTCAAATTTGGGAATGCATAAACTAGTTGGTAAGGAAGTTCCCTCACTTGTGTGGCTCTCTTGGTTCTCATGCTCCTTTGGCTTTATTCCTGTCCCTGTTGTCTCTATAGCTGCATGGCCCACAGCCATATGGACTTCACACATATTGGGCTATAACTGGTAACACAAATTAAAGTATCTTGTTAATCTATTTGATTGTGGAGACATGGATCAGAACTCTGGACACTGGCTTTGATTTCAGAACTGCTGAAAACAAAGTGGTACTTTCTTTCTTGGCAGGACAAATGGAAATGGGACCTTGGGAAATCAGGGGTATAACTGCACAGAAATGAAGCTTCCTATAATATATCACCTTCCCATGTACGTCTCAGAAATTTCCTTTACCCAGGATATTCAACAAACCCACTCCCACAAGCAAGTGGTAAGGATGATGAAGTCTCCCTGCTGATCACACTATTTCTAGACTTCTTCTAGCAATGCCTTTGGAAGTACAATGTCTAATTCCTTCTCATCCAACAGGACTTAATTTCCAAAGTTCTCATTCATGGAGACCCTAACTAGTGTTACAATGCAATCTTGTCCTGTTTACTAAAGGCAGGTTCCTCTTTGCCCAGAGTGATACTGCACTCTTACAGTTTTCTATTTAAAAACAACCATACAGCTCTAGCTGGTTTAGCTCAACAGATAGAGTGTGGGCCTGTGGACTCAAGCATCCTCTCTCATCATTTTTTCTTCTATCTCTCTCCCCTCTCCTTTCCTCTTCAAAATCAATAAAAATATATTTTAAAAAATAATAAAAAATAAAAAAACAGCTCTAGTGTCCCATCTTCTTAATACACTAAAGGGAAAAATGTATTATACTCATGCATTGATTTATTGAATAAATATTAATTCCTATGTACTATCCTGTTGAGGTGTTGAGCAAATTCCTGTCTTCATGAAACTTGCGTTCAAGTGAATAAGTACAGGTAAAAGCAAACGTAATGTATGGCTAAAGAGTGGTGGTCAGAAAGATGGAGAAAAACAGATTAGGAGGGAGGGGGAATAAGGAATTGCCTGAGGTGATAAAGGAATTTGGTCTTCCTTTCTGGACCAAACCATTCAAAGAATCCCTTCTCCTTTTCTCTCTTTCACATGCTCTCAGTCTTTTGTTATGGAGCTTCTCACAATCTGTGAAGACACATGTGTTTGCTGGCCTACTTGTTTAGTATCCATCTGTCTCATAAAATGGTCCTGAATAGTCTTATGACACAATATGTCATTTACACCGGAGTTACAGGTTAGCAATAATTAACGAGTACAAAAACACCCAGTATGGTGTTTTTTTTCAATAAAGTAAGACATAGAAACCACCTCAAAATACTTTCCATTCCTGGACTTTAAAAATATGTATACCCCATAATAAATAAGCTTCATGTTCAATTATTTTATTCTATTTCTATCTCATGCAATTATGGGGTGAAATTTACTTTTCCTAATTCGTATGTCAACCCTTTCATAATAGAAAGCAGGCACTGTTCTACTTTTGTTTGCCTGACAAAGCCTGTCATTATTATTTGAAATAAGAATAATAGTAAAGCTTTCTGAACACACACACACACACACACACACACACAATTAGAAAAGGCAGAAGAAAAAAGCTTACCTTCCTAAATACTTCCTCGAGGTGAAGGCAGCAAGAATACTGTTGGAAGCATCTGATTAACTGTGAGATGAAGCGAGAACCTGTACTAGGGTCTCTCCAGGACATGTTATCTAGGAAGATAAGGGGTGGTTAGCTTTGGGCTGTGCCCTTGAATGTTTTCTTTTATCACACATTTGTTTTATGTAGTTTTTGTGCTTTTTAAGCATAGTTTTGGAATCAAATTGACAATTTAAGGGAAACACATGTCTACATCAACTAATTTTCCAAAAAGAAATATATATATATATATATATATATATATATATATATATATATATATATATATATATATATATTTGCTGGCAGAGATTTTACTGAAGGGATAACTCACAAGGATTTCATAATGATTGCATTATATTCTTGGAACTGACTCTTACTAGATGCTTCATGCTCATTCACTAGGTTTTAAAAAGAGGCTTCAGAAATAGCTAAAAGTATCCTATTTTACAAAGGAAATAATGGATGCTCAGACGATTAAAGAATTTCCCCATGCTTATACAGTAAGCAACAAAAAATGGCTCCCTGGCTTCCAAGTTGTTTACAGAGTACATAGAAGACTCTTTCACAATAGTATAAGCAAGGTAGGTGAACAAATTCAAAGGAAGCTTTAAGAGGGGGATATCTTTATAGCATAAATTGTTGTGACCTGGTATAAATTATATGCAAACTCACTGTGTTATATACATTGAGTATATACAACATTTTGTATGTCTATGAAAACTCCACGAGCCCTGACTGGTATTGCTCAGTTAGAGCATGATCTGCACACTGAAGAGTCTCAAGTCTAATTTCTGGGCAAGGACACAAACCTGGGTTGCAGGTCATATCCCTGCCCCCTGGTCAGGGGGCTTGTGGAAGGCAACCAATTGATGTGTCTGTCACATGGATGTTTCTCTCTCTCTCCCTTCCCTTCCCTAACCTTATTTTCCACTGCCTTTGAAAGTAATGGAAAAAATATCTTAACTCCTTGAGTGAGGGAAGAAAATAAAAAATAAAAACCTCCATGAAATGGTTTCAAACAGAAAAGATTTAAAACAAAATTTGCAAAGTAGGAACATTCAAATGTGAGAGCCTTCTTAAGATGACTACCTAGAGGTCAAGGACTAAGCACTGATCCCTATTATTAGGCCTGCTAAGCCCAGAGCATAATTTTCCTCCTCTTTTTAAGGATCTCCTCCTGCAGAGCCAAGCAATGGCTCCCTCTAAAGAGCATCTAATGAGAACCAAAGAGAAAAGGAGCTGCTGTTGGTAATTTAAGGAGGGCAGCCAGTCCCAGGATCCATTAAATCCCTACTCAAAATGTTAAATAGATTTGATATAAAATAGAATCAAATTTGTTTTTTAAATGGTGTATGAGGATCTGATTTCTTGTATTGGGATGTTCTAATATGTGGTATATCTTTGACCATAAAGTGCACAACTTATAATAAAAGTACAGTTTTAAAAAGTGGAAAATATAGACCCTCTGTTTCCATAGATCAGATAAATGTAAATGGTTTTGAAAGCCCTCACAATATGTCTTATGCCCTGCTGCAAGGATGCTATTGCATTATTCTAGACTCATTCCCAGGGGGCCATAGGCCCACAAACCCTTGTCTGTAACTGGACAACCTACGTGGGGTTGAGGAGCAGAAAGCAATGAAGTCCTTCTCCACATGAGCTTTGTAAACAGCATCGTCCTCCAGGCTCTCAGCTGACTGTGAAGAGCTGTCCATCACGGCTGCTGGAGAGTCACTGACCCAGGTTTCCCCGCGGTTTTCTGTAGAGACATTAACTTTGTGCAAACTGTGTGCCTGCCTCAGTATGGCTGTCACATGGCCTACCTCATTCTTTTTAAATGTTTATTCTCACCAGTTTCACACACACACACACACACACACACACACACACACACACACACACACAAACACACACACACTAAATAAACCCTTGCCCCATACACATACCATGACCTCTCTCTACTGTCTTTGAACAATGTGCCAATTAATAGTGGCAGCATCTTACCAGCAAATAGTGATAGTACCAGAATACTGGAAGAACTCCTTTCCTAAAGAAGAACAAAGGACTTAAAACCATATCTGCATAATTTCAGAGCCTGGTTACCACTTTTCAGGTAGGCTAAATCTGCTTTTTCCTCCTAACACTACTCCTAAATGCTAGGAGGATATTGGAAGTCAGCAAAAACAAAGGAAATGTTGACAGCAATGCCAAGTGCCCACATTTTCCTACTCACTTCCCTTTCAGTAACACCCGAGCAGAAAGGGTGCTGCTCCTATAGAACAGTCCCACTTTCCAAGGGAATTCTTCTCAAGCCAGAGAATGTCAACATGCCTGTGATACATTGGCCAGTAAGGCTGTCATTAACATGCCCTTATTCCAAAGTTTAAATATTTGTGTTCAACTTTGATTTAGGGATTTTGAAAATCTCCTTCACCATTACTTTGGGTTAAATTGATTAGATATTTCTTAGCAGAAAAAAAAAAAATCTCTCATGATACCAACACCCTGTGGAGTTTCCCAAAAATTTGATTCACTTTATTTGCATTGAATGGGGTCTAGGCTTGTTTCCCCCACAAGCAAATCATACATCACAAAGCACTGCAAACCCCTCATGCCCTTTGGATTTTCCCTGTCAGAACTCACCACCTCTGCAGGCCTGGACAATGATGACCTTCGGCTTGTCCTTGAGACTGGGGCAGTTACGATTGTTGAATATCCGAAAGATGGTGTCATAAGGCAGCACGTCTGGGTGTTCGTCGCTATGCCCAGTCCCACAGAGTCTATCCAGGAGGCCATGAGACATGAACACCAGGAATGTGCTATCTGAGGTGCTGTGGTCTTTGTGGGAAGCGAATGTCACCAGCACTGACTCCATCTCCTGAAAAAGGCCACAGAATGTTACTCTAAAAGGACCGGCATTACCACCAATCTGACCCCCTATTTGTCCTGAGCAGTGTAAGAGTCACCTGAAATGTTCCAGTCACTGTGCTTCAGATAGTGGTGCTCAATGATGGTTTGGTTTGTCTTCCGACAGTGGAGCTGGGGGCTCAAGGACCTGCTCCTGCGAACATTATATGAGCTGCCCTCTTTCTTCTCACCAATTTCACACACACACACACACACACACACACACACACACACACACACGCTCTCACACACAAACACGCACATATTAAATAAACCCTTGTCTCACACACATACATTTGATGTCTTGATGTCTTTTACATTTGTTTATTTTCACTCACATACTTTTTTCTTTCTATCTCTGTCTTCTGTCTAATTACTTAATAGGAGGCATACATCATAAATGTATCATACCACTTCCCTTCAACATCCCTTGCCACTGTACTTAGAATAACATCAACCTTTTGAATTATGTATACTCCCTTCTGCCACCCTCTCTAGGCTCTCCTTACCCTGATATTTTTGTAGATTTCATGTGCCAGTTTCTTATGTAGTTCAGACTTCTCATGATAGTCATCCTTATTGGAATGTACTATATTCACATATTCCCAGACCTCTCTTGTTACTGGTAGCCATCTGTGAGGTCCCATACTGTCTCCTGACAAGGCTTTTCCTGACAGTTCCATCAAAGCAATTACTCCCCACTCACCAATGCACTTTTATGTTGTCTTTTCTTTTTCCACTTACTTTTAATTTCATTTTCACTCTTATAGAGAGAAACAAGACACATCAAATCTCTGAAATTTTCTGTTTTTCTTTTTATATGATTGACTTCTGACCAGTAAACCTAAATCAATTTGAACTTGGAATATCCTATCTCATTCACAGACCTATCCTCAGCACCAAAAATAGACCCTGGGACCCAGTTAGGACTCAATATTTACATGGTGAGTACGTTCCTTTTGAACATTCATTACTGTAGAATTTCCTGGGAATATTGGATATGAATCCTAATCACCCCACCTTGGATATAAGAATTATATAGGTATGAATGCCAGTCATTTTGTGTCTAGTTTTATGGAATTGAGGATATTTGGAGTTCAAAGGAGACAGAGAGTTCCCCTGTCTAATAATTTCATTTTATAAACACACATACTCACATACATGTTACACACAGAGAGATATGTGGCCTAAGGTTGGTAAAGTATCTGGCTATCCTTATAAAGTTAATTTGTTAGCAGGAGGGTGTGTAGAATATGTGCTTGTTTGGGGTGGGTGAGGAGCCCCTACCTTGGCTGTGAGGTTCTCTTCCACAGTCACACTGTAGCCGAGGCCCACAAGCAACTCTTCCATCCCTGAGCTGTCAAGTTCAGCTCCCTTCCTGGGCTGAAGATGATCAAACTCTCTATTGCATATGATGAGAGCCAGGCGAGTGCGGCTCGTTTTCTCTTTTATTGGATAGATCTGCAGGAAATAGATATGCAGTGAGTTTGATTTACCTTAATCTCTATTAAACTTCCATATGCTTATCTCTGTTGCTTTGTTATAGGCTCATAGATCTGCAGTATCCCCTCTCTTATACCAGAGAACTGATTTTTTCTTTGTAATGGATTGAACTGACATAAGAAGCGAGAATTGAAAGTGATTTTGCACTTTCACATTACATAAAAATAGACCGATAAATAAAATAATTTATTTTCCAAGAGCCCAGAAGTGGACCTAGAACATATTTGGAATTTTTATGCAAGAAACTTGAAGAGACTGGAGCAATTATAACCATAACCTTCTCCTCTCTCTTCTCCACCTTGACAAATCATTCTCAATATTCAAGGTTCAGATCAAATTTCATAAAAATCAGGAGACATTTTATACTGACTTCAGCTAAAAATAAATACCTCAAAGATGCTCTGCCTTTGTAACATCATTATTTTAGTATTATCTTAACACTAAAATAATACTAAAATCAAGATAAAATAATACTAAAATAGGTTTAAAGCTTTAATTTTATTTTAAGTCATGTTTTGTGTCTAGGCTTTTCAACTAGTATGAAAATAATTACTAAATACTTTGATCTACAGCTATAGCCTAATTGTAAAAGTCTGAAAGAGAGAAACTATATTTTTTTCAGGGGATTGAAAGAAAATTGCAATCTGTGTGAGGCTATCTGAGTTCCTCCTTGCTCAAAGCAGCTATGAAAAAGATTGGCACTATCCCCACAGTACCACTCTGTAATTAGTGCTTTAGGAAATCATATACTTAGTCAAAGCAAGTCTTTCTCTCTTTTTCTCTATTTTATGGGTAGAACACAGTACCTCTCCAGCTTTTTCTTTACACACTTTCAGGAAATCTTCATGAGTACAAAGCTTGAGGGTATCTGTAGTTTCTGCTGACGCAGGTGGCCCAGTCGTTTCTGGAGGAACTATAGGATATATTACATGGCATCATATGATGTAAATTTTAATATCTGCATCAATGCATCCTATGAGGTCACAATTCATTATGCTTGTCAATTTCAAGAAAAAAAATTAAATTTAAGGTCCTTTTGCCTGCTCTGAATGAGGGAGAGCCATAGGCTGTCCTTTTGCCTGCTCTGAATGAGAGAGAGCCATAAGCTGTCCTTCAAAATGCTCAGCCCAAGAGGACAGACAGCAGCTTGTCCCACCCTTCCCATCCAGACTGCTGGACTAACTAACCATCAATAAGTTCAAAAACATTTTCTGGAGAGGGCCTGGTGGTGGCAGGCGTGTACATGTCAAGAACTTTTTTTCAGAAAGATCTCTCCCATTAAAGCCATTCAAATAAGTCATCTAATTACCAAATTATGTGGCCTGGAAAACAATTGCCAAGTAAATGAGAAAGAGACAAAGGCATGACAGTCTGCCTGAGGAGCCATCAGCTGGCCAGCAGCTAGGCGATGCCTCCTGTTAGCTTCATTCTAGTGGTTTGTCCAAGTGCCTCTAGAACTCAAGGACTATGACCTGAGAGGAGTGGGGCAAGGAAGAAGAAACTTTGGCTACTATACAATTACTCCCACAGCTTATTGTTAGTTATTGATTATCTTTAATTTGGGGGAGTGTTATATGGAATAAAAGGTATTAAAAAAAAAACACAGAAATTTGTATGCATGCCTATAAGCATAACCAATGGACACAGGCAACAGAGGGTGAGAGTGAGTTTAGGATTAGGGTGTTGGGGGGGTGGGGGCAGTGGTGAAATAACCACACATTTGTATAATAATACATTAATTAATAATAATAAAATAAAACATAAAAAGGAAAACAAGGAGTTACCCAGAGATGAACTTTGTATGTCAGTAAGACAGGCATAGGCTTCCCCTAGTCCCTGAGAAAAAGATGTCTTGCTTTCAAAGATCTACTTTTTCCTCTGATTGGATTGGGAAGCATAAAAGAGACCAGCAGTTGAGTGTTGCCAGAGCTCCCATCTCGGCTGTGGGGGGACTTAGGGACTATGGAGAGAAGGGGCAGGTCAGATGCCTGTCTGTCTTGTATCAGGGCCTTAGGAAGATGTGAGTTCAAGGTCGAGCCTTACACAATGGTCTGCAGCCTAGTTCCAGGCTAGTGGAAAAAACATGCAAAAGAAAATGCAAGAGGGCAATCAAATAAAAGAGTCCACATTTAAAATTCTAGCTTTTCTGGTCGGCATTGAAATTATTCTCTGAGTGCTTCACCATCATTGAAATATTTTATTCTTCCTGGAGAGCAAACATTTGGAGAGAAATTATAAAACTACTCAATGATAGACTTTAAGTCTTCATCTCAGATAATTATATATTTTTCTAGGGATTCCTAGACTTAAGTAACTAGCTGACCAATTAACTAACTAGCTAACTAAATAAATAAATAGGTAAAGTGCCTTGCCAGGAGGACTAGAGAACTGGTATGAAATTTATCAGACTATTCTATAAATTTCAACAACTGAGTTACCATATACTCAGGATGGGATGTGAGGTTTAATTCAAAGAAAGACTCTGAGGCTAAAGGAATAGGAATAAAGAGTGAGGAGACAGGGCATAGACAATAATGTCACTGACTTAGAAATGGAGCCCTGAAGCCAGAGGTAAGGAAACTGTCTGCAAACTAATATGACCAATGAAGACATCCTATGTGGGTCAAAGACACGTGGCCTGTGTGGACTTTAGTCGAATTGTAGGCCTTACCTGGGAGCTCCATCTTCTCTGCAAGGTTGGAGTCATTTCCACAAATGAGAGTGATACACACTTGGCTTGCCTGGGGCCCTTTCAGACTGACTGAATCAATCAAAGCTCGGGCCTTATCCATAACTGTGGCATTTTCCTTTCTTATTTTCTCCATCTCCTCCAGGTTCAGCACTCTTTTATGAAATAAGTTATCCAACAAGACATTTATCATGGCCTCGGACACTGATTCGACAAAAACCTTCCTCTTCTTCTTCAGGTCTATGTCTGTTTGAAGCACAAGAATTCCTCAAGTCACTAAACAGCCTCATTTTTTTTCTTAAGTTAGCAACAGGGAAGAGCCTCCTTTAAACTTAGTCCATACAATGTCCCTCCCCATGCAGTTAAGTCATCCTGAGCTACCCTCATCTCTCACTCTTCCCTCTGTGTTACCCATGTGCTCACTGAGTGCCTGAAGTCTGAGATTTACTGTGGGTGACTCCTGTTTTTTTACCTCTGCTTAATAAAAGAAGGAAACAGTGGGGGGCTATTTCCCTTGTGGACAGCAGCTGCTGGTACCCATCTCAGGGGCATCCTGCACCCTTTGTCAGAGTACTCAGTTAAGTCTTTGGGGTCCCTTCTCTACTTCCCTTTCTCATCCCTCCTCTTTCTTCTCCCTCTGTTTTATTCTCCTAGTTAACCTAAACATTCACAGAATCTAATTATGGCTTCCTCAAAAGCCAGCCACTTTCAAAAATTTTCCCCAAGATGTATCCTTTTAGAAAATAACAACAACCACAACAACAACAACAACAAAAAACACAGCAAAACCCTCACAACTCACCGGCCTCCATGGCTTTTCTCTCCTAGCCTTGGAGTGCAATTTGAAACTCAAAGCATGTTCCACCTTCCTTGTAAGCAGGGCGTATACATATTAGGAAATACCAACTCATTTATATGCATGCCTTTGTTTTTTCTTCAAAGTAATAATCTTATTGCTTAACTTTGGATTGCATCAGTGTTTATATCCTGGAAAATTTCTTTCACCAGCACTGGATGAGGCTGGGCTAGGAAGGGAGTGAGCCTAGAGAATAAGAAAGTAAGGGAAAAGTATGCATTTACTTGAACTCAAGCAATGATGAATCTCTCATTCATGAGGAAGTGTGATCTGGAAAGTAACTTCTTCTTTGGTGTCTTGGTCCATGCATGGTACTGCCAGACTGGGTGACTCATCAACAAGAAGACTTTATTTCTCACAGTTCTGCATCTGGAAGCATAAGACCAGGTGCCAGCATTGGTGGATTGTGGTGAAGGCCCTTTTCTGGTTTGCAGACTGCTGACTTCTTACCATGACCTCACATGGCAGAAAGGGTTAGACAGCTCTTTGGAATCTCTGTTTTAAGGACGTCAATCCATTCATGAGGCTTTTGCCCTCAAAATAAATTCAACTTCTAAAGACCTCAACTCCTAAAACTGTCATCATGGGCCTTAGGTTAGCATCATCTGAGTATTGCAGGGACATATACATTCAATCTATAGCATTTGGAGAAGTAGAACCATTGTGATCCATGTCCCCTTCCTGCAGATCTGCTATGTCCTCAGAGCTATGTGTTTCTGAGAAGCAGTTCTGCTATTAGGAGTGGAAACATTTTTCACCAGAATCAAATATTTTCTTATCTACCACTTTTTCTTTTCAGATGATTCTGTTTTGTGGGATACTGCAGAGACTAATGGCTCAGACACTGGACTCAGAAAGTCTGGTAGCACTTTAACCATCCTTTCTTGGGCAAGGTATTGAATTTTCCCATGCTTTTGGTTCCTCTATTGGTAAAATAACTAATAGTACATACCTACACACCTTTGAACATTAAGTGAATGAAAATGTGGAAATTGCAAAGCACCTAATTAGCACACTATGTTATTATTTGTTATTAATATTATTTTTAATTGAAATATTTCTAAACTAGAGGCCTGGTACACAAAATTGTGCACTGGGTGGTGTCCCTCAGCCCAGCCTGCCCCCTCTCACAGTGTGGGAGCCCTCAGAAGATGTCCTACTGATGGCTTAAGCCTCCAACCTATTGGGAGCAGGCCAAAGCCACAGTCTGGCCAAGGTGGCTAGGAGCGATGCTCTCTGGCAAGACTGGCCTCAGACTTGGCAGCACCACACTCTGCTAGGGGCCTTGTTCCCAGGGCAAGAAGGCTCCCAGTGCAGGCTATGTGGTGTGTTTGCCTGAAAACCTTCAGCAGGAGTGGCCTTTGAGCTGGGTTGCACCAGGGCTGGATCCAAGACTGCTCAGAGCTACTCCCAGCCCTGGAGTGTGGTGTGTGTTCACTGGAGCTCAGGGCATGCTCTGAGCTGTTCGTGAGGCAGCCTCTTGAGCTGGTCCTGATATCCTGGCCTAATTTGCATATTTCTGTTTTATTACATAGAATTAAATAGCCAAGGTTAGTTAGTTATTTGCATCTAGTTAAATTTCTCTCTTGGGAGAATCCTCCTGCATCTCATTCATTCATTCACTTAGCTTATATATCTGGATGACCTACTCCATGTTAGACACTCCTCTAGGTTCCAGGGGTTCAGTCCACACAGCCAATGGTAACTTGCCTCATGGCTTTACATTCAAGGTGAGAAGACAAACATGAAACCGATGTATACCTGGGATAGTGTGAGAGTATAGGAAGTGCTAAGGAGAAGTTAATTAAGAAAGCAATTGATGAAATATGGAGGATGTTAAAGATGAAGACAGAAGAACATAGAAGGCCTAAAGAAGTCACTGCTTTTTGTAAGCACATATTTAATTGCTTGACTCAAAATTAACTCAACATAACCAATTTATTTTAGAAATCCGGTTGATGGAAGATAGACTAATAAAATGCCTATTAGTCTTTCAAAGTTATCAATTTATTTACCAAAAATATCAATGGGAATATTACTTTAGTTTCTTAGGAGAATAATAACCCAGAGTTCCTAAAACATTCAGCATTGTGTGTGTGTATGTGTGTGTGTGTGTGTGTGTGTGTGAGAGAGAGAGAGAGAGAGAGAGAGAGAGAGAGAGAGAGAGAGAGAGAGAGAGAGAGAGAGAAAGCAAAATGCAGGACATATCTAAATCAAATGTTATTAGCTGCAATAGTGCTGTTTTACTATTAGAAGCAAACTTACATTTTGACACATGGGCCATCAGTTTCTTGCTGTGATCTAGGCTACTTGTTAAATTAATTTTTTTCATTAAAAACACCTACTGTGTAGATTTTAATCTAAGACTTGCATCACTGTGTTTTCATTTTTACTTTGCTACTTACTCAATCCATTATGCAGCACAATCTTGTGACCCTTGGCACAGGGACACAGGGAAGCTTGTTGTAGGGAAGCAGCAATTGCATGTGTTTCATTTCCTGTATACATTTATATTTATTCATTTATTTCTGAAATGCCTTAAGGATTTCACATGAGGGTTTCTCTACAAGCCAGAGCTATACACTGATGAGTTGAAATATGCTGAGGTAGCATTTCAGCCAGTGAGCCTCCCTCACCCCCCCGTAGGAACCCCCACCTCGATTGGGGGCATGACCAGCCTGAAAACCCACCATGGCCCCTTGCCACAGCTGGCCCAGCTTTCCAAGGGGACCTCCACCCTGATTGGGAGAATGGCCATCCTTCAAAACCCTTATTGGGCCAGCTCTCAGCACAGCAGGGACCCCCACCCCTATCCAGGAACCCATATGGATGGACCAGCTGGCCCCCAACAGTGCATTGGGACTCTATCCTATATAATATTATAAAAGGTTAATATGCAAGTTGATCCTAATGGTGGAACAACCAGAATGACTGCTCCTCCAGTCACTATGAGGTACATTGACCCTTTTGGTTTCTTACCTAGGCCAGCAGGCCTCAATCACCCAATAGCAAATAGGGAACCAGGATTTGTGGTGGGGGACATGGGTGGCACCAGGCCAAGGTCCCGAACCCACCAGTCAACTCACACACAGAGGGAAACCTATGACTGGGGCGGGGCTGGCGAGGGGGTGGAATGGCCCACCTCTCAGTTCCTCCCCCTGGCCAGCAGGCTCTGATTACCTGATGGCAAATGGGGAACTGTGGGTTGGTCACAGTGGGGGTCGGGGCTGGCTGAGGGCACCAGGGAGGATGGCAGTGGTCCAAGGCTAGGCCTTGGGACCATACCAGCTTAAGAATTTCATGTGCTGAGCCTCTACTTTATATATAAAACATTGCATTTATTTAATGTAAAATTTTTGATGCATTCAGAAATATAGCTATACTCATGGTACCATTAATACAAAGTCTAACATTGTACACAGTTCTGTAAATTTTATATTCAATTAATTCATCTGTTTCTTAATGTGCTTTCTGAATCTTGTTGAAAAATTTCCCTAGCTAAATATCATAAATACTAGAGGCCAAGTGCTTGAAATTCTCACACGGGGGAATGTCCCTTAGCCCTATCTGCACCCTCTCCATCTGGGACCCCTTAAGGGATTTATGGATCAGACCTAAACCAGAACTTGGAAATCCCTCTCACAATCCAGGACCACTCACTCCTAACAGCTCTCCTGCCTGCCTGCCTGATTGCCCCTAAACACTTTGCCATGTAGGCTTTTATTAGTATAGATATTTTTCTATATTTTTTCTCCTGATAACTTGAAGGATTTGCTATTTATATTTAGGTCTTTACTCCATCTAGTATATTCTTTTGTGTATGGCTTCAGATACAAAGTGTGTGTGTGTGTGTGTGTGTGTGTGTGTGTGTGTGTGTGTGGGTGTCTATAAAATAATATCTTCAGTCCCTCATTATTTTATCTCTGCAACATGACATGTTTTATATTATTCATTTCCAACCTTTCGTATGTGTCTATTTGTCTACCCATGTGCCAAGCAGATCTTATGATTTGTTTTCGGGCAATCTCCCAACCACTTTTTAATTATTTTTTTTTCTTAGATATTGTTACTACTTAACCTTCTAAACAAAGAGTACAGATAATTTGTCAAGTTAAAAAAAACACATGGTTAAATTTTCTTTGGCACTCTGTTGTGTTTATAGATTAGTTTGCATAAAATTAAAAACATTACACTTTTCTTCTTAATGATGTGGCATATCCCTCATGCTAGCTAAATCTTTACCTATGTCACTCTAATTTCTTAAAGTAGTTTTCCATATATTCTTTGTAACTATTTGTTTACAATTTCTTTAAGTACTTTGTAATGTTTATTGCTATTGCAAATAGAGGCTGAAAAAGCAAAAATAATTTCTACTTGTAAGTCTTTTGAATAGAAAATGGTATTAATGTTATATATTTATCAAAATTCTTACAAATGTGGGGACTTTATTATTAATTCTAAGAGATTTCAATAAAGAATTCTGATCAAGGTGGCCACATAGGTAAATGTGGTTCTCAAATCCTCCCACAATCACATAAAATTACTACTAAACTACAGAACAACCATCATTCAGAGCAATCTGAAATCTAGCTGAATGAAAATCCTAAATTAGGGGTTTAAAGAAGAACCACATCAAGACTGGTAGGAGCGGGCCTGGTCGCATTCCCACACAGAACAGGCTGGTCGCATTCCCACATAGAGCAGATGAGGAAGGATATCTGTCTGCAGAGGTCCGCTCTGAGAATCAAGGGGTCCCGCGGACATACCAAGGCCTGCAGCCCAGGATTCCAGTGGCAAGAAGAGACGTTCCCCTTACTTCAGGCTATGAAGTCCAGTGGAGATTGTGGCTGAATGACATGGAGGGCTTCTGGAGTCCTAAGCAGTTCCTTTTAAATGGACTGTGAGTAACCCTACCAGGATTCACTGGTTCTAAATTTTCAGGGACAACAGCTTGAAAGTCATCAGGGACATACAGGAAGGAACTGAATTGTCTGGCATCAGAGTGAGAGGTGTGGGCAGCTTTCTGCCAGA